CGCATCTATTGAGATGATCATATGGTTCTTATTTTTAAGTCTATTGATGTGGTGAATAACATTTATTGATTTCTGTATATTGAACCAGCCTTGCATCCCAGGGATGAATCCTACTTGATCATGGTGCACAATTTTTTTGATATGTTTTTGTATCCGATTCGCCAGAATTTTATTGAGGATTTTTGCATCTAGGTTCATTAGAGATATTGGTCTGTAGTTTTCTTTCTTTGAAGTGTCTTTGTCTGGTTTAGGAATCAGGGTGATGTTGGCCTCGTAGAATGAATTTGGAAGTTCCCCCTCTTTTTCTATTTCCTGAAGTAGCTTGAAAAGTATTGATATTAGTTCCTCTTTAAAGGTTTTGTAAAACTCTGCTGTATACCCATCCGGTCCTGGGCTTTTCTTAGTTGGTAGTCTTTTGATGGTTTCTTCTATTTCCTCAATTGATATTGGTCTGTTTAGGTTGTCTATATCCTCCTGACTCAATCTGGGCACATCATATGACTTAAGAAATTTATCTATGCCTTCACTATCTTCTAATTTATTGGAGTACAAGGATTCAAAATAATTTTTGATTATCTTCTGTATTTCTGAAGTGTCTGTTGTGATATTGCCTTTTTCCATCCCGTATGCTAGTAATTTGAGTTCTCTCTCTTCTTCTCTTCGCTAGCATGGCTAAGGGTCTGTCGATTTTGTTTATTTTTTCAAAGAACCAACTTTTAGTTTTGTCAATTTTTTCAATTGTTTCTTTTGTTTCAATTTCATTAATTTCAGCTCTGATTTTAATTATTTCTTGCCTTCTACTTCTTTTGCTGTTGTTTTGCTCTTCTTTTTCTAGGGTTTTGAGAAGAAGTATGAGATCATTTATTTGTTGGTTTTTTCTTTTTTTAAGGAATGAACTCCAAGCCATGAATTTTCCTCTTAGAACTGCTTTCAATGTGTCCCATAGATTCCGATATGTTGTGTCTGTGTTTTCAATTATCTCTAAGAATTTTTTAATTTCCTCCTTGATGTCTTCTATAACCCATTGATCATTCAGTAACCTACTGTTCATTCTCCAAGTGATGTATGCTTTTTCCTTCCTTCTTTTATCCTTGATTTTCAGTTTCATTCCATTATGATCAGATAAGATGCATGGTATTATCTCTACTCCTTTATATTGTCTGAGAGTTGCCCTGTGACATAATATATGATCTATTTTTGAGAAGGATCCATGTGCTGCTGAGAAAAAAGTGTAACTGCTTGATGTTGGGTGGTATATTCTATATATGTCAATTAAGTCTAGGTTATTAATTGTGTTATTGAGTTCTACAGTTTCCTTATTCAACTTTTGTTTGGAAGATCTGTCCAGTGGCGAGAGAGGTGTGTTGAAGTCTCCCATGATTATTGTATGGTGGTCTATTAGACTCTTGAACTTGAGAAGAGTTTGTTTGATGAACATAGCTGCACCATTGTTTGGGGCATATATATTTATGATTGTTATGTCTTGTTGGTGTATGGTTCCCTTAAGCAGTATGTAGTGTCCCTCTTTATCCCTTTTGATTAACTTTGGCTTGAAATCTATTTTATTTGATATGAGTATGGACACTCCTGCTTGTTTCCAAAGTGCATATGAGTGATATGATTTTTCCCAACCTTTCACCTTCAGTCTATGTATGTCTTTTCCTATCAAATGCGTCTCCTGTAGGCAGCATATTGTTGGGTCTTGTTTTGTGATCCATTCTACTAGCCTGTGTCTCTTAATTGGTGAGTTTAAGCCATTAACATTTAGGGTTATTATTGAGATATGGGTTGTTCTTCCAACCATATTTGTTTATTTCTGTTACTAAACATGGTTTGTTTTCCTCTTTGATTATTTTCCCCCCTTTCCTGTCCTACCTCCCACTGTTGGTTTTAATTGTTATTTTCCATTTCCTCTTCTTGTAATGTTTTGCCGAGGATGTTTTAAGAGATGGTTTTATAGCTGCAAATTCTTTAAACTTTTGTTTATCGTGGAAGGTTTTAATTTCATCTTCCATCCTGAAGCTTAATTTCGCTGGAAACACAATTCTTGGTTGGAACCCATTTTCTTTCAGTGTTTGAAATATGTTATTCCAGGATCTTCTAGCTTTCAGAGTCTGTGTTGAAAGATCAGCTGTTATCCTGATTGGTTTACCCCTAAATGTAATCTGCTTCCTTTCTCTTGTAGCTTTTAAAATTCTCTTCTTATTCTGTATGTTGGGCATCTTCATTATAATGTGTCTAGGTGTGGATCTCTTATGATTTTGCACATTCGGCGTCCTGTAGGCTTCTAGGATTTGGGATTCTGTCTCATTCTTCAAGTCTGGGAAGTTTTCTTGTATTATTTCATTGAATAGATTGCTCATTCCTTTGGTTTGGAGTTCTGTACCTTCCTGTATCCCAATGACTGTTAAGTTTGGTCTCTTAATGTTATCCCATATTTCTTTAATGTTCTGCTCATGGTTTCTTAACAGTCTTGCTGAGCTGTCTATGTTCTTTTCCAGTTGAAATACTTTGTCTTCATTGTCTGATGTTCTATCTTCTAAGTGTTCTACTCTGCTGGTAGTATTCTCCATTGAGTTTTTAAGTTGGTTTATTGCTTCCTGCATTTCTAGGATTTCTGTTTGTTTGTTTTTTATAACCTCTATCTCCCCGTATAGTTGATCCTTTGCTTCCTGGATTTGTTTGCGTAATTCATTGTCGAAGTGATCTTTCATTGTCTGATTTTGCTGTCTAATGTCTTCCTTGATACTCCAGATCATCTGAAGCATGTATATCCTTAATTCTTTATCTGACATTCCATCTGCCGCAGCTGTTACCTCTTCTAAAGTTGAGTTGACCTGCATTGCTTGTGGTCCTTTCTTGTCTTTTCATACTGCTTGCGTTTCTTTCTGCTTGGTGAAACTGTTGTGTTTTTGAAATGTTTTTTTCCCCTATATATTTATATTGCTCTTGTATAGTTGAAAAGTCTCCCTTGCAGGGTCGGGCGGCGGTCTGCCTACCTTGCAGGCGTGGGCAGCGGCTCTGCTCTGCCCCTACTCCAATTGGGGTGTCGTGACTACCATGCCGGCAGGTTGCTGGGCCTGTTCCTGGCACGGGCGGCGACTCTGCTCTGCCCCTACTCCAATTGGGGTGATGTGTGTACCACGCCGGCAGGCTGCTGGGCCTGATCCGCCGGTCTGTTGCAGGTCTGCCTACCTTGGAGGTGCGGGCGGCGGCTCTGCCCTGCCCCTCCTACCACGCCCGCGGACCGCTGGGCCTGATCTGCAGGTTGGTCGCAGGTCTGCTCACCCTGCGGGCATGGGTGGCAGTTCTGCTCTGCCCCCACTCCAATTGGTGTCATGTGACCACCACACCGGCGGGGCCTGATCCGGGCGCGGGCGAAGGCTCTGCTCTGCCCCTACTCCAGTTGGGGTGACGTGTGTACCATGCTGGCAGGCCGCTGGGCCTGACCCGCCAGTCTGTCACAGGTCTGCTTACCTTGCAGGTGCGGGTGGCGGCTCTGCCCTGCCCCTCCTACCACGCCTGTGTACCACTGGGTCGCAGGTCTGCCCACCTTGCGCTCCACTCTGCCCCCTCTCCAATTGGGGTCACGCGACCACCACGACGGCGAGCTGCTGGGCCTGCTCCAGGCGCCGGCGGCGGCCAGGCTCCTCCCCTCTGACTCGACGACAAATCGAGAGAGACTCGGGTGTCTGTGCCTCACCCTCCCTACCAGGAGACCAACTGTTTCTGTCGCCGCTGGTATTGATGAAGTTCTCTCCTCCGCCGCTTTCTGATGACATCAGATCTCTGCCATGTCGGTATCCTATTAGAATGGCAGCATTTCATTCCCTTTGCCGGGTAACCAAAGCAATGGGTGAGTCCTGACCGGCCCTCAGCCGGACCCGGACCAAGAAGCAGTTTCTGCGGGCTCCTTAGCCCTGGGCCAGAGCAGTTCCGGGAGCCAGAACTCGGCCGCTCCAAGCTCGGTGTATGCTCTGATAATAGCAGGCTCCAAGAAGCAGTTTCCGCGGGTTATTTAGCACTGAGCCCGAGTGATCTGTCTGCAAGCCGTAGGCGAATGGCAGCCTGAAGTTACCTGTTCTATGGCTGAATGAGCTGCGGTCAGTCGAAAACAGGGATGGTGACGTCAGCTCTCCAAGATGGTGGCTGCTGGCCTCCTCTGTGGTCTGACCGGTGTGGAGAACCAAAATGGACTGCTTCCTTCCCCCGTCTCGAACCCAGAATGCAGCACTGAGTATGGTGCTTGCACGGCTGGCAGAAACTGCAGCGCTGTATCCCTGCGCCGCTATCTCCTCGTTTCCCAGCGCGCGCTGCAGACTCTAGCCACCGGGTGATTTGCTGAATAAGCAGTGTTACCCTCCGTGCGACAAATCTCTCGCGTTTGAGTCCCCGTAGCCGATCCTCATGCCATGGAAATCCTTCCTCCAGGTTCCGGAGCACCCCACTATTGCTGGAAATTCCTAACAAGATAGCCTTTAGCCGTCCTGACTCGTCATACTCCCACACAGTGACGCGGCACATGGGGGCAATGCACTCCCCTCGCCACCATCATCGATAATCCTCCATAGGTTTTTGAAAAATTAAAAAAACCTATATACCTGTGTTAATCAAAGAGCTTATTTTATACAATACAATGATAATGGCTTTGGATTTAAAAAAAAATTACAATAAGCTACAAGTATCAAAGAAGCAAAGTTTATCTGGAGTAGTCCATATAGGAGCTCTTTGGACTTTCTTTTATTATGCTAAAATAGTGGTGCTTTCAGGATTTACATTATTGTACTCTCCAATACAAAGTATGGGGTATGTTAACGTATACAGTACACCATTTAAATACATGTACAACATTGGTGGATGAAGAATGTCTCTTAGTGGTAATACTGGATATAGCCTCTGGTTTTACCAGCTGCATACTGTAGGACTATTATATAAGTAAAAATCTCTCTTGTGATACTGAAAAATGATTAGAATGTGCAGACTGATATAGTACCTTTCATCCGCCTCTTAAATGGTACCACCACAGTAAAGTCCATTTAAGATGTTGGTAGGTTTAACAAAGTTGGAATGCTGGCACTGTTGAATTGGGCAACAATTCTTCAAATCTGGCTCAGAGCTACAATGCATTCAGTATATTAAAGCAGCTGACACTATGACTTTTTGCAGGCCTTCCCAGGCACTGGAGTTTTCTGTTAATTTGCTGCACTAGGTCATAAAAGATCTCATTAACATTTATTTTTGATTTTGCAGAAGATTCTAAGAATGCACACTTGTTCCACTGTCTTGCTAGATTTTGACCTTGTTCCTTTCCTACAACTCTTTCATATTCCAAGTCACACTTATTACCAACCAGAATCATGGGAACATCATCAGTGTCTTTAACTCGAAGAATCTGTTCTCTCAAATCTTGTAAATCATTAAAGGTGGACTGTGCTGTGATGGAATAAACCATAGCAAAGCCTTGTCCATTTTTCATGTACAAATCCCTCATTGCTCTAAATTGTTCTGTTCCTGCAGTATCCAGGATTTCAAGCAAACATTGTTGTGCATCGACTTTAACTTGCTTTCTATAAGAATCTTCTATTGTAGGATCATATTTTTCAACAAAAATTCCTTGAACAAACTGTACAGTCAGAGCAGACTTTCCAACCCCTCCTGAACCAAGAACGACTAGCTTATATCATGCATGATGCAAACTTGTCAAACTGAGTACCTCTCACGCTGTCACCAGGTTCCTGTAGCCAGCATCACCCTGCGCTCCCTCTGGGTCACTGCTCTGGGCGCCACAGCGGTCCTGTCGCTGCTGCCGCAGCTCTGGCTGGTTTACACACCTGACTCTGGGCCTCTCTTGTTTTTCTTATGTATCATTCATGGGGGTCATTTTCTCAGGGTTTTTAGCTTTCAAACTTTTTTTGTTGTTCCTGGGATTGAACCCAGGCACACTTAAGCATGTGCCACATCCCCTGCCCTATTATTATTATTAGAGACAGGGTCTCACTGACTTGTTTAGAACCTCATTAAGTTTCTGAGGCTGGCTTTCAACTTAGAATCCTCCTGCTTCAGCCTCCAGAGTCAATGGAATTATAGGCAGCACCACCACAAGGGCACAGACTTAATTATATTAATAATTTTTGACCTTTTGTTCAGAATTATGAGGATCTCTAGACTTAAGATCCATAGCTAGAATTACCTCTATGATAAATTTTCTAAATCACTCATTTCTATAGCAGGTGTGATTTCACTCATCTGCTTATACTGAGAAGCCCTGGGGAATAAAGTTAGCGAGCAGGGCTCCCTGGGGTCCAGGGCTAAATGCAGACTGAGAATGAGGTCTTGCTCTTGAGCAACATGGACACTCAAGCAACAAAATTACCTCTTGGTTTAAGGTCTGTGCAGGCAGAGCAAGGAGAGGAGCCTTGGAGCATCCTCTAAACACCCACAGCAGAGCACAAGGAGAAAATCTTTCCTCCCTTGGATGTGGCACCCTGTTAGCTGGCAGTAGCCATGGGCACTAGTGCTGCAGTCCACAGGTACAGGCAGAAGATGAACTGGAACTTCAGTCCTGGGGAGGAAGGTGCAGAAGTGGCAGTATGCAACCTGTGAGGAGCATGTGAGGCCCAAGGGCATGTAGGAACTTGAAAGAGCACTGGGAACCCCTGGGATACACCTCTAGTGCAGTGTTCTAGGGGCAGCAGCTGCTCTCTCATGTGGGCCCTGCTTAACAGGGGCTGGTACCACCACCACCAGTAGAGGAAGTTTCTGCAACAGCCGCAACCTCTACCTGGGACTGTTCCTGCTGCTGCTGCTGCTGCATCTGCACCTGGTGAGTCCCTCAGCACTTAGGGTAGGCGGAAGAGTACGAAGGCGCTACAGACCCAGGTCTGTCTCAAGACAGAAAGCTGGTGTGTGTGGGAGGTGTCATGATTCTTAAGAGATGGGAGCAGAAGAACTTCTGGAATTTGGGACAGAGAATGTGCAGGGGCACTGGGATTCACCAGAAGGGAAAGACATAAAGATGACTTGGGGGTCTGAACTCATTAAAAATTGATGCTGGGTGAAAGGATGAGTCAGACTCTGCTTGTCACCAGGAGTGTTGACCCTATTTTGTAGGTGCATAACCTGAGGCCTCATAGCTTGTTATCTTGGGACTGTATTTGGTATAAAATGTTATTCAGGATTGGGGCTGGGGTTGTAGCTCAGTGGTAGAGCACTCGCCTAGCACGTGCAAGGCCCTAGGTTCGATCCTCAGCACCACATAAAAATAAATAATTAAAATAAAGGCATTGTGTCCAACTACACCTAAATATAAATATAAAATAAAATAAATGTTGTACAAGATAGGCAAAAGGAAATGTCAGAGCTAACCTATTTCAGTGGTTAGCCCTCCACTCTTCCCATTTTGCTTTGAGAAGGCAGGTTCAATGATCACTTACTCCCCTTGCAATTTCCACCCCACTGGGGGATAGTAATCTGTAGAAAGATGTAATGGATCAATGTAAAGTACTTTATGCTAAAGAAGCATTGCAGCCTCTTGTTGGGGTTTGATGCTTTCATGAGGTTGTGATAGGTGGAGGCTTGCTGAATATTTATGTTGATGAACTTCTTAGCTAAGTGAAATATATCTAACTAACTTAATATTGAACTTTTTAAAAATCAGAACAGTGATTCCAAAATTTTCATATCCTGGTGCCAGTGTGCCTTTAGTTTTTAGAGAGGAGTTGTAGGTGGGCATTATTGTTGTGAGGCTTCTTTTTCATACATCATCTGTCTCATTGAAACAATGCTTGCTAGCCTATCCTTACTCTGGCCTTCTGGTTTCTGAAAGTGCTCTCAGAAAAAGAAGGGCCCCGGGCTGGGGTTGTGGCTCAGTGGTAGAGCACTCCCCTGGTGTGTGTGTGAAGCACTAGGTTCAGTTTTATAAAAATAAATGAATAAAATAAAGGTATTGTGGGCTTGGGATGTGGCTCAAGCAGTAGCGTGCCCGCCTGGCATGTGCGGGGTGCTGGGTTTGATCCTCAGCACCACATAAAAATAAAATAAAGATGTTGTGTCCACCGAAAACTAAAAAATAAATATTAAAAAATTCTCTCTCTCTCTCTCTCTCTCTCTTTTAAAAAATAAAGGTATTGTGTCCATCTACAACTAAAAAATAGAAATAAAAAAATAAAAGAAGTGTCCCTACCCCACCAAAACTTCTCTTCTCTGGTCTTGAGCCTTAACTATATTCTTCTGCACTTCAGGGTTTCTTGTGATTGTTAACATCTTTTTCAGTTTTTCTTCTGACACAAACTTGGTTAAAAACAATACCTGACTGCTCACTGATAGCAGGGACATATTCTTAGTTCTGTTATTTAATATGTATGTCCTGAACATTCATGGTTTTTGCACAGTTTTAAAGATATTTAATCAAGATAGTCCCACTGTAGGAAGGATTCACCTTTTAATTAAATAGGAACCTTGAATAACTATGTAAAAACTTTATTGGGCTGGGGATGTGGCTCAAGCGGTAACATGCTTGCCTGGCATGTGTGTGGCGCTGGGTTCAATCCTCAGCACCACATAAAAGTAAAATAAAGATGTTGTATCCACCAAAAAACTAAAAAATAAATATTAAAAATTCTCTCTCTTTTTAAAAAAATTATTAATTACTAATTATTCAAACATTTCTTAGCCTTAGAATTTATTTACATTTGTTTGGTAATGTAGAAAATAAGTTATTTGTTTACAAATGACTTATGTGTTTATGATCAATGCTAAAATATATACAACTAAAGCATTAGGCCAAATTGGGCAATTTTCAGGTTTTAATCTGCTTTATTAACAGGCTAATTTTCTGAAAAAATGAGCTGTATTCAGAGATACTTAGACTTCCATTTTTGCACATGGTCCTGTATGTATTCTTTGAAGTTGACAACCGAGGGAGGTGCAGGTGGAGCTTGGCACAGGAGCACTGGGGGGCCAGGTGCTGACCTCCTATGTGCTCCATGAGCATTGGCTCATGTCCAGAGACATTGTGCCCAATCTTCAGCTCATCAGTTGTATGGCATTGTGTAAGTCAACCCACTTCTTCAGATCTCATTCTACCATCTGGGTTTCACTTGGTAATATAGCATCTGAGGTCCCAAGAGAGCAGGTTATTTGCCCAAGGTTCTATAGAGAGGAAGTGACAGGACTTGGAATGTTAGCCAAGGTCCTGTTGTGTCCATGTCTTTGGCCTTACACACACCATGCTGTCTGACATGGTGTATACCAGACTACTATGAGCTCGAGGAAAACAGTAGACTCACCTACATTTGGGTTATGACAATTGTGGGGCATCATGGTCAGCTCCAGTGGAGAGGAAGAGCTGAAGAGTGAAGAATGGAGGGGCATGCACATCCTTCATGACCCTATGAGGCAGCAGCACATATGATGCCCAGGCCTGGTAGGATGGGCTACCCCTTCTTCCCTGTAGAGAGCCTGAGCTCTCTCATGGCCGAAGCATTATTTCCTTTCTTGTGCCTTCATTTGAGCCAGATGTGCTATTTTTCCAAATGTGCTTTTTGAATTTTGCCATAGGAATTTTCTTGGTAAGAACCCCTTTATTTCTAATTGCAATAATTCTAATTAAATAGGATATTCTGTCAAGTCCTAGCATAGCCCTAGACATAGAGTGCCGCAGTCCGGCTGCAGCAGAATAACCGGGGGGTGACGAATAACTTGTGTATGTTGATACAGCAGGAGAGGGAGCCGTTTATTGCAGGACAGGAGCAGTATTTATACATTCCACACAGCTTATCTAATTAGCATAAACTAGATACAGCAGTCAACCAATAAGGAATCTCCACACTTAATGGCTCGCTTTTGTTACTTCTCAAACCACTCCCTCTGGCATTTTGCCAGGCACCATCCAGACTTGTTTACGAACTCTAACATTCCCCTGGCAAAATGCCAGGTGTTATTTTGACTTGTTTACAGACTCTAACAATAGAGCAAGGCTTGGGAAGGCTAGTGGTTATTTTCACACCTAGTTGATGGCTTTTCCATGATAGACTGCAGCCACTCCCTCATTCTGCAGCAGCAGCACCTCTGCATAGATCCTGCATTTCTTTGGCCATTCTTCCTCCCACCCCACTTCTCATAGATGTCAGATTTCCATTGCTGTCAAAATCAACTGAGAAAAATCAGCTTAAAGGAGTGAAGATTTATATGGCTCACGGTTCCAGAGTTTCAGTTCCTGGTCTGTTGGCCCTGTTGCTTTGGGCCTGAGCCAAGGCAGCACATCATGGCGAGAGCCCATGGCCAAAGAGGCTGCTCATATCATGGCAGCCAGGAAGCAAAAGAGAGAGGTAGGACTGGACTCACAATATTCCTTTTGAGGGCATGTTGCCAGTGATCTAAGTTCCTTCTACCAGGCTCCAGCTCCTATAGGTTCCACTATCTCCCAGTAGCACCACAGGCTGGTGACCAAGTCTTAAGCACATGGGTATTGGAGGACTTTTAAATTATAGCAGATGACTTTGTGTGAATTATGGACAGGAGGGCTCCACCAAAAGTCATCCTTTGCTAGAACGTTTGACCGCAGCATCTGGAGGCCTCTGTGTAGGATACTACCTGCACACTCTTATGTAGCAAGCCTGGCCTGTTCCACTCAATGGTATTTTGACCAACTGCTTGACATGTTGCTGTTTCTAAAAGGAT